GATCCATATCATCCTGTAGAAGTATACCTGCATCCATTAAAAGATGCAGCGCTCCCGGCAAAAGGGACGTGAGTACATGTGGAATAGTACTCGTATGTAAGGCAGTCAAAACAATATATGAAAATACGGTAACTCAAATAAGAGGCAAAATAAAATACATCAAGAAACTACGAAACATCCCATAGGATAACATTTCAAGTCTTATTATACTTGCATCATTCTAAACTTCTTTTAGGACCAACTGAGCCATATGAACTATACGTGGAATACATAATATAGTGTAATTGTAACAACATGTACAAACAAGGCCAATGAAAGTGGCACCTTCCTCTCTTATTCTTCACATATACATTTCATAGACCATCCTTAGTGTTCACATATTTTTTATTATACACCTATGTGTCTCATATACCGTTTACAGTATCACCTATACAATACACCTATTCAAGGGCTTGGAAGTACAACATGAATATAATGAATCATGGTAACAATAAAAGAGCTTAGATAGCCATCAACATCGAGCCAATTTACTAAGAGCTTCCATTAATCATATATAGATATTAAATCGGGGATCCTCTATAACCACCTTCACACAAAGCGGCCCTGCCGCCTCACCCCAGCATATGCGGGTGGAGGTGTATCATGATACCATAATCTCTACACAAAATGGCCCTACCGCCTTACCCCATTATATGTGGGTAGAGGTGTATCACAATACCAAAATCCCTAACAAAGCAGTCATACCGCCTCACCCCAATATATCCGGGTGGAGGTGTATCACAACATCACAATCCCTACACAAAGCGGCCCTGCCGCCTCACCCCAATATATGCGGGTGGAGGTGTATCACAATACCACAATCCCTACACAAAGCGGCCCTGCCGCCTCACCCAAATATATGCGGGTAGAGGTGTATCACAATACCACAATCCCTACACAAAGCGGCCCTGCCGCCTCACCCCAATATATGCGGGTAGAGGTGTATCACAATACCACAATCCCTACACAAAGCGGCCCTGCCGCCTCACCCCAATATATGCGGGTGGAGGTGTATCACAATACCACAATCCCTACACAAAGCGGCCCTGCCGCCTCACCCCAATATATGCGGGTAGAGGTGTATCACAATACCACAATCCCTACACAAAGCGGCCCTGCCACCTCACCCCAATATATGCAGGTGGAGGTGTAATCCCAATCACAATACCATATATAAACTCAAAGCGACATAGTTTGTCATTACATTTAAGGTCGTAATTTCCCATAATATTGGAATACTTCATGTTTATGCTCATCGTGAAAAAACACAACTCATTACATTAGGACATGCATGGTAAATCAATAAGTCGATTTCAATGGCACATGAGCCCAATTTCATTTCTTAAGGTTCATCATCATTTGGCATAGGACATCTACCTTTCATCTCGTTATTCACTCACTTGCCATCTTGAGGTTATTAGCTAGGTTCATGACTCTTGGGGACGTAACAATCGAAGTCATTTACATACATTATCTCAGAAGCATACAACTATAGTTGAAACCATTGGGACATATAACACCACATAATTCTCATTTAGGCAACGGTCACATTTCATGTTCATACTATCACTTACTTGTACTTGTCGTGGGTGATCATAGAACATTAAGAGCATTTAAAACATTTAGGAAAACCATAGCCTTTACTCATAAGAACGTATGAGCTTATAACACATTGGAAATAAAAGTACAAATACGTTCATCTCATAACCTTTCACACCATATATCACTTTATTCGTACTTTCAACCACTTACAACATCATTATTTCATTGGCTCTCTTGGCCATACATATGATTCTTCTTTCATGGCACAATGGACGTATTTCATATTCTACACTTTCATATCTTTCCTTTCATGGATCATCATCATAAATATCAATATATAGAATATTCCGAAAATCACAACTTTAGGTTCATTGGTAATGAAGACTTTAAACACAATGGATTTCTTTCAAAGAAATGGAGTAAAATGATTGAAAATCGAATCACAAGTTAAAATCATAAACGAGTAACACACCATTGATTCTTAAAATACTTTTCCCTAAAAGGAAAATACACCATTTCAACTCATGATTATGTAAGAGCTCAAAACATATTGAAAATACCTACCAAGCATAGCATTAGTTAGAACAACCACATTTGGACATGACTTGAGTACATAAGCTTTTAGACAATTCTATTTTCGGAGTCAATTTGGAATAGTTGAATCAAGACTCATTTCATAACCTTTCTCACATCATTTCATTTCATTGGCACCATTGGCCACAAGTATAACTTTCATTCTTGGCACGGTGGCCACACTTTATATCCCCTATTCATTTATTTCACTTCCAACTATCCTTATAGATTATCAATAGTAAGACATTTCCAATCAAGACTTTAGGTACACATATGAGCAATTAAGAGTCTTAAGCATATCGAGATTTTCTCATACAATTTGGCATCATAACCTTCATTTGAAACACGACTCAAAGACATAGCATTTTAATACATATATCATTCTTGAATACATTCCCAAAGGACAACATGATATGATAGGAACATTCGGAACACGTTTTGAATACATAATTCTCGACACTTTGCTTATTTGGGACAATCAAATTTATTGGGAACAACTTGGAACATAGAATAAGGAACTTGAGACAACCATACTTGAAACTTATGGGAATATCATGGAATTCAATATAGTCTTCTTCCTGCTTCATTAGATAAAGCGTCTTCATTAATAGATAGAGTTGGAGTACGTAGTGAGAGTCAAGGTCAAGGTTTATTGATGAGTTCAGTGGACAGAACAATCGATGTGAGGCCTAGGTCAGGGTCGGAAGTTAAAGTGTGACTTCCTCCGTAGTTGGGGGCGGCGGTTAAGCGTCCGATTCGACAATGAACACTAAATGAAAGAGGCAATTCAATTTTCTCACCCACCTACGATTGATTGGAGACTTATTCAGTAGGTCCTCCTTCCCTATAGAATGGAATTCTAGGGCGTCTTGCAATCTCCTATGACTCAACCTTTGTTCTTGTGCAAAAGCGTCCTCCCCTTCCTTCCTTTTTTTCGAGCTCACTAAGGCAAGCATTTTCAACTCCCCGAAGCATTTCATCGATTACTACGCCGTTCCTCGTCTCTGGGTTCCTAGGTATCCACCGTAAGCCTTTCCTCATTTGAACCTCTCCCTACGGTAAATTGATGAAACAATAGCCAGTCCAATGGCTGCTTCAGCGGCTGCAATAGCTATAACATTATAAGAGAGTAGTTTAGCCAACATACCTCGCTTTGAGCTTTCCTTAAATTACTATAATGTTCCGAAAATTCTAGCGATCCCAGTCTATTTTGAGACATAACAAAATTGAACACAAATTAGGAAGATATTCATGATTTCAACTCATTCGAGCATTTTATCAAACATTAGGTGTGCAAATTTGGCTACAAAGTTCTTCTACAAGATTTCCTTCACTCCACAACCCAATCCTTACTTATTTGAGCTCACAATCTTCCCACAAACCTTATTGGTACAAGCATATATACATAATACTCTTACACCTAAGAATTATACTCCTAATCACCCATCTTTTACCCCAAACTCGAAATTGAAGACTAGAGGTTTGAATTTTACCTCTTGAGTGAAGATCTTGTGAGATTTCCTTGTAGGATTTCAAGGCTTGAACAAGATCTTGGTGAACAAAATACTTCATCTACTTCCTCTCTCTAGAATACTCTCACTTATCTCTTAAATCATCAGATAATTGCACTAAAATAAGCCCCAAAGCCTATTTATCAAATTGCGGTCGGATTATGAAAATAGAAAAACTAACCTTTCGAACTCAAGTCTGCGGTCGCAGAATGGGTATGCGGGTCGCACAATGGACCGCAAAGCTGATGCCCAGAACTGGGCTGCACTGGTCAATTCTGCGACCATTCTGCGGTCCGCATACAACTTCTGCAGCCCGCAAAATGATTCAGTGGTTGCATAATTGGCCGCAGAATCACATTCTGTTAACCTTTGGTAATTTGGCCATAACGTCTTGTAGGAGTGTCCAAATGACGAACGGTTTAAAGCGTTAGAAACTAGACTCGAAGATCTTTAATTTGATAGGTCATCCATCACATAAATCCTTATATATATGTAGATATACGCGTCCAACTTTTAGTCTATCATGTAATATCCAATTTGACTTGGACTTAGGGCTCTCCTTATACCCCACATCACTTGTAATATGTCTATACACTTATTATCATATCTAATTGATATTCACTATATTAATAGTCCTCGTCTGCACACAAAATAATATAATTAGCACACATCAACTCTTTTACTAGCGCTTAAGTACTTCGAAATTTTTCGGGGTGTTATAATTAAGTTATTTCGTCATTTTTATATCGTAAGAGTAAAAGATCTACATTATTTTAAAAATAATTTAATAAACTATTTTGGTGTAGCACTCCTAGATTCCTATTCTTAGTTGACAGCTATAAAGTGCTTGGATGTTTATTGCATCGTTACAGTTAGACTTAACTAGGTTAATAATTTTCCTTTTAAAAAAAATCAGCCTTTAAATCTTTTTTAATACCCAAAGTAAATCCAAGCCATCAGTTTTCTATGGACAGATGGCACGAATTTAAGGGGGTATTGACTATCACTGGATTTATAATCACTGGAGCAAATCCGGACCTATATAAATCGATTGTTGAATTAACCTAAGAAAAGTTTTCAGTGTAGCGACAAAGGGGTTTAAAAAATGTTTTTGGTCCTGAGTTGGACTTAAGCTGGACATTTTAACATTCTTTGATCCTATGGTCTCCAATCCTTCCTCCTCACGTGCTTGTAGGCAATGTAGGAAAAAGCAGCTTAAGAGTTTATGCTTATTCAACAAACGTTAAAGATATTTGCTATATATTCAGTGAAAGTAAATTTCTTTATTCCTATTTCCTAATTAGACCTTTTTAACAGCAATAGGGGGCACATCCATCAGCCAAATGAGATTGGATCATTAAATGAATGCTTAGAAAATTATAAACTTACAATTCGAATCTCTGTGACAAAATGCTACAGGTTCTTTCCTCATTATATATTATCCAAATGAGATCATTCGTATGAAAGTGAATAAGAAAACATTAAGAGTCTATACTTGGCTTGCTATTCATTCCGAGTTCTTTAAGCTTATTAAGCTCAGGCAATATCACCGAACCAAGATCAGGTCGATCTTTCTTCCGCAGCTCAGCACATTTGAGTGACAATTTTGCATAGTTAAGAGTTTCTTCCATTGGCCAGTTTGGCACTGTTGGATCTAATATGTCTGCAAATGTTCCGTTCTCAATGGCCCTCTCGACGTGATGTGTTAAACCCATCGGAGGCCTTGCAGTAATAATTTGGAGCAACATCACACCAAGTGAATATATATCTGATTTAGTCCCTAACTTTCCTGTTTGTTGATATTCAGGATCAATGTAACAAAACGTTCCTGCAGCTGAAGTCATGTGATATTGTGTAACACAATCAGCTACAGATGGTGGAACTAACCTTGCCAAGCCAACATCACTAATTTTGCAGGAATAATTGCTGTCTAAAAGAATGTTCGCTGGCTTAAGGTCACGATGGACAAGAGGTTCTGGTTTTGCTTGGTGAAGGAATAGGAGCCCTGTTGCGATCTCAGCAGCAATTTTAAACCGAATTTCCCATGGGATTGGAGGGGTGTTACCTTTCCGGAACAGGCGATCTTCCAGGCTGCCATTATTCATGAACTCATAAACTAAACATCCATACTCGGGACATGCACCTAAGAGTAGAACCATATTTGGGTGCCTCATGAGACCGAGGACTTGAACCTGTAAATGACAAAGCCTATTCTATGAGAAAGGAATCCTCAAACTTTCCATCCAAAAGTCGAATTTGCAAAATGTGCAACAGCATTTGGCTTGTAAAAACTCCCTACTCAAGTCAATCAACTAAGTATTTACAAAATGGTATATTGATAGCATAGATGAGAGAGTAGGGCCTTCCTCCAAATGAGAGACTACTTGCACATTAATCAATAGTCTAATTTTTAAAAAGAAAAGGGTTTGTGGTGCATATCTAACACTAAAAATGGATTCTTAAAAGTGCTTTTCAAAAATTGTAACTGAAGCATATACACAGAACAAAAAGTTTTAGATTAAGCATATACATAAAAGTAATCATGTTATGCACCAGAATACTTCAAGATACATAAATTTTTCAGTCTAAAACTGGCATTTTGTCATGCTTCCCTTTAGTGATCCAGTATAAAATAAATCTATAGTTGACTTAATGCACAGAATTCAATAAAGAAGAAAGTTACTCAGCCAAACAAAAAATATGTTTTATACATTGTATTCATAATATGCAGCATAAGATCAATTTCTGTCAAAACATTGGAGAGATAACATACCTCTTGCTTGAACTGTTTCATCCCTTGTGCAGCATCGGATCTCAGAACTTTAATGGCAACGGGTGTGTGATCAAGTTTCCCTTTGTAAACAGGGCCATATCCACCTTCACCAATCTTCTCCGAATTTGAGAAGTTTTTGGTGGCTGCCTCAATCTCTTCTATTGTGTATTTCCTATAGCAGAGATCACTCCGAGATAGATCATTTAATGCTAGATTCTTTTCTTCTGTCACTCGCTTGGCCTTCAACTCCGCATATTTTCTTCTTTTTGCTTCTATCTCAGCCAACTTTTGTGCTTTTTGAGCAGCTTCAATGGCAGCTCTGCCTTTCGCTTTTTCCATCTCAGCAATAGCGAGAGCTGCCTCTTCAGAAATACGGGCTTGTTTGAACCTACTTGCTTCTTCCATTTTCCATTGATGAAGCTCTTTAGCCTGAAAATTAGAAGACATTACATATGTAACTCCGATAATTAGAAAAAACGAGACTTGGCATGAAACATGTAAAACTTATCCGAGGATAAGAAAAGGGAGAAAGCTAATTAAGACAGACTTCTTACTTTCCAATTCGTGTTTCAGAAGGGCTTGTGTGGGATCAGAGACACAGTAACAACTTGTTCAGAAACTTACACACGATTGAAAAATCACGTATTACTTTTTAATTCATACATTGGATTGATAATATGTGTCTTATCATTCTTCTATGTAAAAGTCTTGATCTTATGGTGTTGCTTGGCTGCAGCCATGTGGTCCTGGCGTTGGTTGCCCCAAGAATCTTTATTACTTATTTTTAATTTACTATACAAGTTCAGTTGAAACATGGAACCGACCTGATCTAGATATCTGCCTTGTTTTAAAAAAAAAATCAAAGTAACAATGGACTGAATATTCACTTCCACAAATGCTAGTTAACTTTGAAGAAAACACATGCAAGGAAGTTTAATTTGCAGAAGGCTGGTTTTTACATGCCTTTTTTCTAATAATTTAAATGACTTTTAATCTTGCGGTTGTAGACACTTAAAAAGTTATACCGTTTGGTTTGCCGAGACAGCTTCTTTGCAAGCTGTGTTGTACATATTCAAGGTTTGCCTTAGCTCTAGCTTTAATCTGTTCATCTCAGCTTCCCACTGCATATAGCAATTGATGATGAAGAATATATTACTAAATGAAACTGCTTTTTCTTTCACAACAATCAAAATAGTTAAGACTGTCTATTCATATTTCACTTACCGAAGATGAGGAGCTACAATTTTCTTTTACTGAAACTTGAGTGAAATCAAGATTTTGAGCTGTGATATCTACTGATCCATGGCTAAGAGGTGCAAAGAGACCTCTATCATCGGACGGAGAACTGCGGCTATATGAATTCCTAGTATCTCTAGTATGAACATCAAGATTGTCCATCGATGCATTAGATGGTCCAATTTTGGGCTTCATCATTTCAGAACCTACAATATTTTGCTCTGGCCTCGTATATACTGACCTGTTTTGTAGCATTAGTTTATTAAAGCTCAACATAAAAAAGAATTATCACCATCTTTGATAGAGCATCAGAATTTAAGCTGTTCCTCTATGCAGTTTTCAACACTCAAACTTCTAAGATAAGATGGTGATACAACAAATAGAAGCTAATGATTTGCAGTTTAAACTCGGGACACTGCTTAAACTTACTTTCCCTTAGCCATGTTGGATAAGTTTGTGTATAATGACAAACTATGTCTTCATAGTAAAATATTTGGAAGAAAAGTAACAAAAGACATTTCAATGGCGTTGATTTTAACATTTTAATAACTAATATTTTGTTTTACACCAAGATATGTCTAACAATTGGAGTACTCAGTGAATGAAAATTGCCAAAATTACTGGAAAAAAATACAATGAATTAGAATTGCATAAGATTCATTTTGCATAAGTTATGACAAGTTTACTGGTGATTCTTGGGGTTTAATTCGGATACCTAGTAGCATCATGAGAAGTTAAAGTGACAATCTTTGGTTAATTCATTCTTGAAAACAAGCATGCAAGCAGTAGACGCAGCTTCATTTCTGTTTTCATATGCTAGCTAGTTTGAATGCACTTGGGCTCAAAAGTAACTGCCAATCTTAAGGCTATTGGTAGTGTAGGAAGACTCTCCCTAGCCACTACAATGACCCCGACCCTGACGCTAGCTGAGAAGCACCTTTCACTTTTCCATTTACCAAAAGTCTGCTCTCCCGGTTTATCCTTTCTGATTCCCTCACCCAAACTCATAAGAAACAGGCCTAGCTGCCTTGCCAAAACCTGTCCTCAGACAGCTCATATTTCATTGAAATGTTTACCGAATATTTTTCTCAGTAAATTCCTCAAAGTTTAGGACAATAAGCAGTCAGTGCACAAGCTTTTCCCAAGCTCAACAATACTAAAAAGGTTGACCAGAATACATCCTCAGTTATTTGGTACCTGGATACATCTGATGATTCAGAGTAATTACTTAGCCTAGCTGCTGACCACGCTTGGGAAGATGGTAGCGTTGCTGACAAAGAACTAGCAAAAGGTTTTGCTGCTGGTCTGACTGACTGTTGCTTTCCTTTCGAAATCACGTATACAGTACAGAAATCTGGTGCAGACTTGTTTATGATAGTTGGCACATCATGACTCCAAAATTTCCTGCAAAAAAGAAAGACAAAGATCATCCTTTAAGCTATTTATCCACAAATCAAACCTAGTAAGAGCAAGTAATTGATCATACTAACCTGGAAAGAGCACTCCTTGATGATGCACCAAGAACAATGTTGGTGACGCGGTGGTTGTTAATATAGTCTAGAAGTCCCTTAGACACTTCAATATCCTCAATGACAACCTCCTTCACTGCTATCTTCACCGATCATTTGAACTTGAAGTTAGATTTAATCAACATTATTCCACAGTGATATAAACCTATTTTTCTCACTTTGTTATATAAGATGCTATGTGGGTACGCAATATATTGCTCGAATGGTGCAAAATGCATTTACGCTAAGATACCATGTTTTGTGATCTTACAGGTCTCTTATAGGATGAGCAGTCTTTAAGCTTTGTTGACCTAAGTTTATCACGTATGAAGCTTATTGTTTTTGCTAGTATTGACGTCTATAAATTATTTCAAGTTCTTCTATAGGGCATTCAATATAGCAAAATTGTCATCGAGGAAGAAGTCATAACACGAACAGGAAGATACAAGTTCTAACTTTAATATGCATTTTCTCAAAAGCACCACATGCACTTGTTTTATGTATTCTAGTCTACTAAATTGATCAACGTACCCCTTTACGTGCAGAGTAAGCCCTGAAAGGTGTAAAGACCTTATGAGTATCTTGATCACTCAATCCGCGATTTGAACCTTGAACAACACCATTCTCTACGAAGTAAGCAGAAATACCATCATAAATAATACAAATAGAAGGCATAGGTCATAAACATTCAATTAGGAAGCAAAAAGGGCAACGCGGGTGAAGCCTTACACTGCAAAAATTTTCACCCACCCTACCCCTCTTAGCATTTCTCTCCATTTTTAACTCGCCCCGCCTGCTTAAGTTTTCTTTTATACCCAACTTTATGAGAAACAGGTTAAAGAAATGGGTGCATTCAACAGTAAAAAATGTTAATTTTCATTTAACCTGCACCTGCTTTTGCTTTCCAAACCCGCTCCCCAGATAAGGGTTCCCCTGTCTTGTCCTATCGTGTTTATGATTTGCCCGCCCGCCCCATTGCCATCTTTGCATTCAATGCCTAGCTTGAATGCTGCAATAGATATAAACTTCTAATCCAGTTTTTTCCAAAAGAGTTCTTTTACATTACCAACTTGGGAAATTAAGAAAACCAGCAGTATAGGATACCATGATGAGACTACATTGAAATAATGCAAGTTCTTGATTCAATTGAACAATCAAATGAAAAAAGAGCGATAAAATTAAAGGAGAGGAAAATGTGATGAAAGAGGGAGGGTACCTACGATTTGTTGAGTTCTTGATCCGAACATGGACCAACACAAGCGTCGGATTGCTTATCACGAGATGATCAACAGCCCATTTGACAGCAGAGGCGCTGTGCTTGTCTTTATCAACGGCCACAATGGTGGGATGGCTACAATCATCGGACGAAAATGACAAAGGCATTTTCTGTTCCGAGGAAGGGATTGTTACCCTTTTTGTGCGGAATAATATTCCAAGGAAGGGATTCAATAAACCCCTTGTGACTACCAAAAAGAGTTATTCTCTTTTCCTTTCTGAATCTTAATGGAGAAACGGAAGAAGAGAAATAAGAGAAAACATGTCTCTATTCTTTTCTACGAGGAATCTTAACAGTTCGAAACCAAAGTATCAAATGTCATTGGTGTTAAACAAAAGATTGTCTTGCCGCCAAAAATGGTGGCTAATCTGCCTTTGCGTCTACCTCCGTACATTTTTTCAGAGTGTTTGACCCAAGGAAGACTACATTTTGGTCCAAGTTCAAAACTCAACGCAAAAATTTAGAGATTTTTTGTTTAAACTAATTTTTTCTTTTTTAAGCAAAAGCCACCAATTTTGGTATTGGGTTCAAACTAATATAAATGCTAGTGAAAGATACGTTTCTTTGATTAAGAAAATAAATAAAATCTAACGGCCATTGGAGACGAATTGAAAAAAAATACATCTATAAAGTATCTCATGGCTTCACGTCGAGCAGCGAAGCCAGAAATTTTGGTAAGGGTGTTCAAGATTTAATATACACTAGTTTTTAGTGTACGTGCGCTGCGCGTGTACTTCCACTTAATTAGTATAATACTTTTAAGAAAATTACATAAATTTTATATTAAAATTATCTTCGGGTATTATAAGAGAAAAATATAGTATAAGTTTTTAAATATAATTATTACTGATCTTAATAACTTAATTACTCAATAAAGCAAGACACTCTACCTCTGATATTTTCCTATTTTCAATTTGNATATATATATCCTTATTTGATCATAAGTAGGCCTATATAAGTATTCGTTATCTTTTGATGATTATTCCGTCGTCAATTGATTTATATGTGTAAGGTAATTTGCATAAAAGTTAAGATATTTAGGTTAGTGATCAATTTTATGCGTTTATTTTACGTTTGTGTTTAACTGAAATGGTAAAATCAGAATAGATTTTTAAGTTTTAAATATTAGAATTTTGTACATAGTTCAAATAAGGAAGGGTTTGGTATATAAAATTTAGTAGATTTTAAATACCTAAAAATTAAAAAAAAAAATTAAATGACTATATTTTCTAGTATGAACTCTATTTTTAAAGGGTAAAAGAGGCAAACGACATTTCGCTAAGGGCATTCGTACTTTTAATATAGTATTGATGTATACAAAATAAAATTTGATTTAATACCCAGTATAATTTTTTATATGCACTATAATTTTTTGTTAAAGGGTGTTCAACTGACCACCGTTCATTTTATGTACCTATGCCACTGTTCATATCTAAAGGTGGCCTAATGGTCAATAAATGAGAAAAGGCCTTAAAAGATCAGGGTTCAAATTTTGTTGAGATCTTTTTTTATATGTTTAAACCTTAGTGATCAAAGTTACTCAATACTTATACTTACGATGGAAGGTGGCTGCAACATATTCCCCGCTGAGTGAACCCATCAACCTTTGTCCTCCTACCATCATCATACAGCAGCTTATATAAATTAATGCACAACATGGAGCCACATAAAGACCCCTAAGCATCAATACACCCATATAAGTAATTACATAGGACGACAAAATTCACAACTACCCAATTCTAACCACCAAGATTAGTCATTTAGCCTTTAAGAGTGCGAAAAAGAGTACCGGGGATAGAGCACGGCTATGCAAACGAATTAACAAATAAAGCATGCCGCCGCAGGTTATGTGTGGGAATCACCATTGGAAGCGAAGGAGAAAGTTTATAAACAGACTCAGTAAGTCTCATACACAATCTGTAAATATTGAGACAAGTCTTTGAGATACCATGATGTTGTTGAGATAATAATTAAACTTGTTCATGCATTATCTGTCTTTATTTTTAGTTCATGAACTAGTAGGTTAAGTGTACTAGGGGATGCATGCATTGGTGGAAAACTCTAGTATTAGTCTAGTAAGTTCTTGTTCATTTACTTGGGATAGGAGAAGTCTAAAATCAAATTTAGATACATGAATTCTACGCTAGATACATTGTGCAAATGTCATGGCTCCAAATTCCCACCTTAGGATGTCGTGATGACTCCTAGTCCCTAAGATTAGGTAAGCCTAACATACATTGAGAATTAGCATAAATAACAACTTCGATATCAAATTAAACTGTTAAACTATCATAATAAAACTCAAAACGGTACAACTGTCAAATATCTCCTAAAACCGTTGGGTCTGAGTCATAAGCTCTACAGAGAATGCATAAATAATCTCTAAATACAACTTTGTTTGAAGTGAAGATAAACAATAGTAAAGCAACAGAAGAAGGTGACTTCGAGACCTGCGAGCGTCGAGCAGGTATACCTTGAAGTCTACGGAATAACTGGTCAATCACTGGCGTCCAGCACGAGCAGATATACCTGGATCTGTACAAAAATGTGCAGAAGCATAGCGTGAGTACACCACAATAGTACCCAGTAAGTATCAAGCCTAACCTCGCTAGAGTAGTGACGAGACCAGGTCAAGACACTTACTAGACCAAAGGATCCTAAACAGATTATAATATAATCTAATAACGGAAAGCAAATAATTAAATGGCAACAAAGCAGTATAATGATGTAAGGCTACAACAGATGTAAAATCAATAAAGGACAACAAGAATGAGAATGTGATAAGACCAATAAATAATCAAATACAGTCAAATACAAGTGAGTCAAATGAAGAATAACAATAACCGTTCCACCAACAAGCTCTTTCAACATAAAATGTACAATAAGAATCACGACTGAGGCACCACACCTTATTTTCTTTCACATTTCACAAATCATAACCACAATCTTCCTTATATCATTGCTTGAGCTTTGAATTTATTTTAAAAATATTTTCTCAAAATAGCTACACGCGTTTTAGCCCCCATATCTCACCATGTGGCTTCAAGTAATTCCCTTACTAGCAACACACGTATAAATCCCACCTTATCCTACCGCATGCGTTTCAATATCCACCCTTATACCACCGCATGCGTATCAATGTCACAGTACAATAATCAACTCGTATCACATGTGCCCATATCACAACGTTACCTAATCAACAATAACAATGTTACCACAACACATAGCCCACGACTCAACCACAATATGTACAAGAATCTCCATAGTAACAAAATGAATAAGAAACAACTAAACAAGGAAAGATATCTTGATAATTAATAATTTCAATCTCAATGTATTATTGTCTTTCACAACTACATCTTCAATAACTCACAAATAAGGTATTTCTAAGAAATGAAAACTTTCACTCCAAGTGCATAACATAAGCTTAACAATGAAAGAGATAGAATGGAATAGAAACTGCTTCTAAATGCATGAGAATAACTCAATAATGGAAAGAATAACATGTAACAACAACTACAAATAAAGGCACATAAGGGAAAACCTCGACATTGAAAACTAGCATATATAATAACAACTTCAAATAAGGCATGTAGGAATAAACTTGACAACGAAAGATTGAACAAATAATTATAGCCTCAACTAAGAGCTTAGTCGAATACCACATAAAGCCCGTGTACACACTCGTCACCTCGTGTACACGTCTTCCACGTAACTAAAATAGTACAATCAACCCAAATCCTAAGGGGTAATTTTCCCACACAAAGTTAGGCATGATACTTACCTCAACTAGACCAAATCAACACTCAAAAATAGCTTTTCTTCTAAAATTTACCTCTGCGCGACTCAAATATAATCAAAAATGACTTAATATCATCAAACAATGCAAGAGAAACTAATTATGATTAATAAAGTTATGATCTTTATACAATTTCCCAAAAGTCAACAAAAGTCAACCCCAGACCCGTCCGGTCAAAACCTGGGTCCAAGGGTAGATCCCAACTATCCATAACCCCACCAGTCCATATATGTGTTTTGTTTTCAAATCCGAGTCTAATTCGACTCTCAAATCTCAAATTTTTATTTTTCAAAACATAGACAAAAATCCCCAATATCTCTCTTTGTTTCTCATATATTTGATGTTAAATCTCATATATAATCACGAAATATGGTTGGAAATTGATCAAAATCACTTACCTAATGCTTTTATGTTAAACTTCCCTCTCCAAATTGCCTATTACCGAGTCTAAGGTTCTAAAATGAGAAAAATGAGATCAAATCTCGTCATTCCAGCCCTTTTGTTCAGTTGCAGATGTGGCAATTGCGATACTGGGTTCGCAATTGCGAAAAAAGACTAGCAATTATGGCATTTGACAACCTAAGAGGAAGTCGCAAATGCAACGTTGGAATGCGACCAAAATGTTGCAATTGCGAAACTACCCATACTAGCCTACACTTCACAATTACGAGCGAGGAACCGCAATAGCGAGGCCGGTGCTCACAATTGCGATAACTGCAGTAGCAACACACCAGCAATGCAAAAATGAGTTTAGTCCAATCCAAAACACGTCTGAAACTTACTAGAGCCCTCGGGGCTTCAAACCACACATCCACACAAGTCTTAAAATATCATACGAATTCGCTCGCGCAATAAAAATACCAAAATAACATCTAGAACCACGAATCGAACATCAAAACGCAAGAATTTCAAAAGAAAACTCAAGAACCTCTAGAATTGCAACCAAACGTCCTAATCCTATCAAACTAACTCCAACTGACACCAAATTTTGCACACAAGTTTCAAATACCAAAACAGACATATTTCAAGTCCCAAAAAAAATTCCAAACCTGATAGGTACAAAGTCAACCTACGGTCAAACTTAGGGAAACTTCTAAACCTCAAATTGCCTACTTTCGACAAAACAAATCAAATCAACCTAGGGACCTCCGAATTCAATTTCGGACATACGCCCAAGTCCAAAATCATGATATAAATCTATTAGAGCCATTAACATACCGTTCCCGGGTAATTTTTAAAAAAGTCAAACTTCGGTCAACATTCCTAACTTAAGCTTCTAAACCAAGAACCAAAGGGCCCAATTCAACCCAAAACCTTTACAGAATGAAATTAACCAACCCCGTAAGTCATAAAACCACAAATACACATATGTGAAGCATAAAAAGGGGAAACAGGGCTCAAATACATAAAATGAGCGATCGGGTCGTTACATTCTCCCCCTCTTAAAACAAGTGTTCGTTCTCGAACGTGCATAGAGACATACCTTAAGTGCCAAAAAGGTGAGGATAATGACTCCGCATGTTGTGCTCGGTCTCCCAAGTTGCCTCCTCGATCAGATGACCCCTCCATTGAACCTTCACTGATGCAATATTCTTTGACCTCAACTTTCAAACCTGCATGTCCAAGATAGTCACTGACTCCTCAACATATGTCAAATCCTTGTCCATTTGGACTGAGCTGAAATCCAATATGTGTTATGGATCACCATAATACCTCCGGAGTATGAAAACATGGAACACCGGGTGAACTGCCGATAAGCTGAGTAGCAGTGCAAGTCTGTAGGCCACCTCACCCACTCTCTCAAGGATCTCAAAAGGATCAATATACCTAGGGCTCAACTTGCCCTTCTTCCCGTATCTCTCACCCTTCATGGATGAAACTCTGAGCAGAACCCTCTCTCCCGCCATGAATACTACATCACGAACCTTTCGATCAATATAACTCTTCTACCTAGACTGTTCTATACGAAGTCGATCCTAAATCAACTTGACTTTCTCCAAAGCATTCCTAA